GTCTCAGACTATCATTTCACACTTCAGCAGATACTCTAGAGGAGTGGTTGAGTATTTCAAAGCAAATTGATGGCAGAAAAGGAGATAGAAAAAGGAAGAAAAAACAGTTTTACTAAGAAATTTTTCTAACAACTTTTGGTGTCCGGCCACTTCACCTTGAGTCACAGACAATTGTTTTACACATGAATAGTCCCTGTAGTTGTCGAGTAGGTAATCTAGATGTGTAATCTGACATTTTGGAGCAAAAATGGAGATAGCCTAAAAATGCCCAAAATTGAGATTTTTCCACAGGCGCGCGCCTGTCGGGTTTTTTCAGCCAAAAACTGACATTCTGCAAAAGTTAAAAATTTTCTTTCAGACTATCATTTCACACTTCTGCAGATACTCTAGAGGAGTAGTTGAGTATTTCAAAGCAAATTGATGGCAGAAAAGGAGATAGGAAAAAGGAGGAAAAAACAGATTTTACTAAGAAATTTCGCCAACAACTTTTAGTGTCCTGCCACTTCACCTTGAGTCAGTGGCGCGGTGATTTATGTCACAGGCGTGAGGGGAAGTTAAGTCCAACATGATGCGTATAAGGAGATACTCCGTACGTCACTCGGGCGCCAGTCCTTTACTATCCTGGTTGTACGGAACCTCCCGCAAGACCCCTACAGCACGTCCTCGTCGTGCGCCACGGATAATGTCTCAAATGAGCATTAACAGAGCTGTCAGGGGATCTCCGAGTTCGGTGGCCCCCAGAGGTGATGTGTCCTTGTGGCTCTCATCAGCCCGCCCCCCAAACGCTTGGGTGAAAAATGTTATCAAAACTCATTAGGAACATGAGTAGGTTTGCCAAACGTACAACCAAAATTACAACCCTTGGTTAAAAGACTGCAGAGTAAAGAGAACATTGTTCACTGCACATCCTCTGTTAACCCTCAGTGTCGTCGTCACCGCGCTGAGGTACACCACAACAGCAACCATCCATAGGCTGGCCATCCTTGTACATCCTCGGTTAACCCACAGTGTCGTCGTCACCCCGCTGAGGTACACCACAACAGCAACCATCCATAGGCTGGCCATTCATGTACATCCTCGGTTAACCCTCAGTGTCGTCGTCACCGCGCTGAGGTACACCACAACAGCAACCATCCATCGGATGGCTAAGCCTAAATGTCCGACAAAACTAGATCATACGGATCAAAATCTGACCATCAAAATTTGTATTGAACTGAAAAAGACCGAATGTCCACACCCAAAGACCCAACTCGCCCGAGTGTTGGGACAAAACTGATAACAATATGCCTGATGCAGGATGTAAAATTCTGTCGGGCTAACGGCTCGTCAAAGAAATCTAACGTGCGAAGAAAAAAGAATGTACCTATCTGTGTGGTCACAAAAGTCCAAAACCCACGGGCTGCTCCCCGCTGACTTCCAGAGGGCGCAGCCCCTGTCGTGCGGGAGGCCTGATACGGTTGTGAGGTTAAGCAGGCATGTGCAGGACGTGACGATTCCTTGGGTGAGCCCAGAACCAGAGCGCCATGTGCCGGCTCTGCATGCATGGAAGCCTCCTTGGATGGCGGGGAATGCCCATGATCTGCCCCTGCCTTCCCTTGAGGGCTAACTGTTCCACAGGGGGCTGCCCCAAAGGGGTACTCCGGGGGCAATACCTGTGGCGAAGGAGACAAAGTGGACACCACACAAATCAGGCAACGTCTCGACCCACACAAAACAATGGCCACAGTCACCCTAGAAATAGGCCTGACGTCTTCCTTCGAAGTCGGAGTACAGCTGCCCATGAGGCAGGGAAATGAAAAACGGTTGTACACGCAAAAATCAGGTCCAGGTGAAAGCCAAAAGTCCAAGCGGACGATTAACCGGGACCTTCCACTGGAATTCACAGCCGGTGATCGATAAAAAAAAAAAAAAAAAAAAATCCTGTATGGTGAATTAAATGTGTAGAAGATTTCAAGGCTGACCTCTGCTATGGTATAAAGATGTCTGCAAGCAGTACATGAATGATACAGGTTTTGAAGTGGACTCGTGGGAACAAAATGCCATGGGCTGTGTTGAGTGGAGGGGGTATATCAGGAAGGGAATGAGCATGAAGGAAGAAATGATTGCAGAAGGGATGAGAGCTGAGCATCTGAGAAGAAATGCACTAACTACAAATGTTGACAACAGTGGTCCTGAAATCCCATGCTATATTTGTGGAAGACTTTTCTTAATGCGGTTGGGTCTTGCTAGTCACCCTTGCTAATGCTAATCATCTAACTCAGTCACTGTTATATCAGCCCAGTCTCAGTTGTCACTTTTCTGTCTCTGTTGTCACTTTTCTGTCTCAGTTGTCACTTTTCTGTCTCAGTTGTCACTTTTCTGTCTCAGTTGTCACTTTTCTGTCTCAGTTGTCACTTTTCTGTCTCAGTTGTCACTTTACTGTCTCAGTTGTCACTTTTCTGTCTCAGTTGTCACTTTTCTGTCTCAGTTGTCACTTTTCTGTCTCAGTTGTCACTTTTCTGTCTCAGTTGTCACTTTTCTGTCTCAGTTGTCACTTTAATGATTTTACCTCACAGTTCCAGCCAAAATGGAAGAAAGACTTGCAGATTGTTTAGCTTCGAAGTTATTTTTGCTTCTGACAACGCTTTTGCTAATGCAGTTTTCTCATCAGGATGGTAGTCTACGTTTACCCTCGTTTCGTTGCAAGCCCAGCTGCTTTAGCACATTATACATGGAAGTGGAGATAAGACCTCTTGCACCCATCTCAGCGGTGAAGATTTTTACTGCTTCTTCTTTCCTCAGACCGGTCATGAGATACTCGTACTTCTCGAGCTTGAACAGGTGATTTTCTTCCATCCGCGACTCGTACGGTACGGTCAGCACTATTAGGACGTGTTGACCTTTTTTCACAGAGTGCAAGACCATATCTGGTCTCAGGCCAGTCTTCTGGATTGACTGGGGGTACTTCTCGAAACCAGGCAGGTTGACAGCCAGTAGCATAGCTCTGCAAAGAGGACATGTCTGGTCAGGGGTCGCATGCCATTTCACTATGTTGACGCCACAGGGGTAAAACATCATAAGCAGGTCCAATGACAAAGCTCAGCCGCAGCGGGGCCATTCGCCAGATCTCACCCCGTGCGAGTACTCGTGGCCAGGCGCTCTTGAGGCTGATTCACTGGCCTTGCTGTGACTGTTGGGCGGCTTTCTGGACCTGATTCTCGTTTTCAGTGTCCCTTATCTGTTGTATTACCATGTCTCTGTTTTCTTTGGTCAAGGCTTTTGACCACCAGCTGACTTTCCCATACCCTAGGCCAAGTCGGTCGGTTTGCGTGTAACCCATGACTTCTTTCAGTTTCATAATTTAATGAAGATTCATTAAAGCGATAGCACCTGACAGTATAAAGCTAGTGAACTGAAACTTTTCAGACACTTGTCTCTGACAATGACTTACTCCATATACAGCCTTAATGCAAAGCAAGGAAGGGTCTGTTTGTTTCAAGAGCACCAGTGGTTGAATCCCTCATAATGATCAGGAAAGATATTCTGACGACTGAATGAAGATACAATACCAGATGCAGTACATTACCTGAAGATGTTTTTGTTTGGATTGAAATATACTTCCAGCAAGGAGGAACAAGTGAGGGGAAGGATCCATTGTGTATTACAACTAGTGTGTCACTTATATAATCACCATCTACAGCTTATGGTATACATTAGATGTAATGGGGTATCTGTGGGATAGCCAGAGTGCTGTAATTTCATATGTTAACACTAATAAACTATAAACTCAACATTCATTTACTTGTTCCTAAAAGAAGGAATTATACAGTATATAAAACAGCAAAACTATACATTAAAGACAAGCAGCAGGCAAAATGGTTACGAAAGCTGGGCTGTCGTGCAGGAGACACAAGGTTTAAATCCTAAGTAAGTAAGGTGTTATGGTTTTTTCTGTCTGGGAAACAAAAATTGTACAAGAAAAAAAAGTAAATCTGCATAGTCTGTGGTGACTGCAATAGCATTGTAACCCTTAATTTGCATGCTCAAAGATCCACTCCCCCCCCCCCCCAACCCCCCACCCCCCACACACGTTTCCCTTATACCACAATATTGTAGATAGAGCCAGTAACTGGCAGTATACATTGGAAATACAGTGTACACTATTTATAACTCTGGGAGTTGAAGAGGATATTATTTATATGAAAACTGCTGCTAATATTTCTCAACAAACACTTTGTGTATTCACTGATTTATACAGGTAATCGACACTTTAGGTCCACTAGAATTCATTTTAAATACTCCAAGTCACCACAGGGTTCACCATGGCAGGAACCCCTACTGCATTGATAAAAATTATGGAGGAACACTCATCATATGGGACAGAATTTTCAGTATGTATTTTGTAAATATGCTTTTTTTTTTTTCACTGTGTCTGTTTTGTCTACTTGGGTATCCAAGTTCATTGCCTGCTCTGTTGTGTTCACTGCTTACACCCTCACAGATTGCAATTCAACATTTGCAACACATTACCACAGTTTCATAAATTCAAACATTCACACTGGGGGAACGCAACAGATTTTCACAAAACATTTTAATATATTTATTGATATTTTTAGAATAACTTAATTGTTCACCCCATCTGAACCTTTTCAGTTAAGTTTAAAATTTATTGTTGCTCACCCTGTAGTACATGTGATTGGTTATTGACAGTGAATTACTCATAAAAGTTCTGATGCTAAATAAATTGCTCACTTTATTGAAACTTGACTGTTATTCACAAAACCTAAATTAAATCTTATAATTCTTTTCATTAAACATAATCTTAGTGTTACCTCAGATGAAGTCTCTACTGTAGAAGTATAGCAATTCATTGAGCAGTGATATTCCCAAAGTCTTTGTTCCCACAAACATCAGAAAGTGAGCAACAGTCTGGCCTATGGTACTACATTTAGTTTGAGAATGGAGGTGGAAGAAGTCACTGTAGCCTTCTGCTAGTTTGAAAACCAACTCTACTTACATGTTAAAATTGTTGCTGACTCAGAGACCATGTGGACAAAAGTGGAGACAGGTATGTTTTATGCAGATTAGCAGGCATCACTTCAGAGGTTCTGGGTAGTTAGCAAGTATCCTTGTGGTATTTCTTCATATAGTGATGGTGTGTTGGCCAATGAACAGGCAGAAAGACGCATCGTTTCTGCACCACTTAGTGGTGAACTGATGCATGACAAGCTAGATGTTGTAGTGTACAGTGCCGAGGCGAAGTAAATCATCATTGGCTGAAGTGAAGGGTGGTGTCACAGGAAGAGTTCGACACCGAACACTCAGAGGAAAGGTGAGACAAATATACTGACAGACTGTTAATGGTACCATCGAATCTGGAACTCTGCACTTGCTGCTCACAGTGAGGAAAATGCTTATGTTAATGTCCCAGATGCTATGATGTTGATTCTTATTCAACATTTAGAAAGTGACCCCCAGCAGTAAAAAACAGCACCAATTTTCAGTTATGTCGAAACCTAGCTGAACAACATAATTAAAGACGTGTCTTTTAAATATTTCACATACCAACATACATTTTTGACTCAGGCAAATGATTACACATTTCGGCTATCCTCCGAATAACAGGCACAAAAGATGGCGGCTGCAAAATATCCTGATGAGCTTCAGTCACGTGTCATGTGTTGTAAACATTCAAAAATTGAAGTCAAAACTAATAAGGAATGAAGAAAATTTTATTTCAACATTACTACCGTTACTACTTACCAATAATTTTATGCCTTTATATCTGGAAATTATGGAACAGAAATTGTAACTAGTGCCCGAAAATTTGCTGTTTGTGGCTGTTATGCCATTGAAACTCAGCTAAGTATGATCGAAACAAGGCGCGCTCTTACCGGATTGGTAACGCAGCTTTGTTTTTAGTAGCATCCACAAACCTTCAATGGTTTGTGTGTGAATTTCACTGTCTGCAGGATCGAGGAAATTAGTGGCGCGCACAACGACGGGGTGGTCATAAATGCCATGTTTCAATTTTGCAATGTTGCTGTATCCTCGCCAAGCGTCGGTCACAATTCTGGTTCCAGGCAAGACATGGTCACATATCGAGATGCGGTAGCTGCTGCTCGTGGGTCCCAGCCATCTAGTTTGTCTCCATCCGCACGGCGCGTAGCGGCGCGGGGTAGACTCTCGCGGCGAGTTTAACTCGGCGGTTTGTTCCGTTTCTCGAAATTGTCAACAGACACTAATCCTAGTTTTCCCGCGATGTGCTCGTGACCGCAAGTGCACAATTGACACGTGACTGAGGCTCATCAGGATATTTTTTGGCTGCCATCTTTTGTGCCCGTTATTCGGAGGATAGCCCACATTTCAGTCAGATGTGCTACAACAGACAGTGAATAAATAAATGAATGATTCAAGAATTGGTATTACTGAACTCAGGACATTCCCACATGTGTTCCATCCCCTTCTTCAGCATCCCCCCCCCTAATTCTTCCACCCCCCATGCCCCACCCCCCTTCCCGCCCCTTTTCTAACAGTGCTGTTAAAAAATAAGGATGACTGAGACTGAAAACTGAATGAACAAAACACAGAATACAACTATGAAGCTCAGTGAAGGGATTACTTACAGATACAACAAGTTGTTTTAACTAAAGTTTTTCTCAACAAATAAAACAAGTGTTCTAATGTAGGTCAAGAAATAAAATACAAGTTTAGCAGAGGATTCACTGAGAGATCTGAAGCATGTTACAATAATGTGGTCTTCTACTCTTAAATACAATCTTGAGCCTAACTTGAATGTCCCAGTGTTTTTGGTAAAAGTAAAATAAAAATGGTAAATTGTTTGTTTTCATAGATACATTTGAAGCAGAGGGAGAAAAGGTTATTTATGGCCTTGTGCATCCAAACCAATTCTGGAATCCTTTATATGGCCAGGTAATAATTAATGTTAAATGTTAGAAGAAAAAAATTGTGTTTAGTGAAAGGTTGTCTTGGTCTATATAAGTATTTTTAGTTTATTCACTTTTTTATTGACATCAACTGTAAGGAAATAGGTTTACTATTTACTGACATTTCAGAAATTTGATGCAATTTTAATGACTGTTTTGAGTGTGTCTGTTCATAGTAATTTATTCCACAAGAGAGCAATTTATTTTCCTTACTTTTCCAGTTGTTTATATAGCACATCTGTACAGATCATTGTTCTCTTCATGGTTAACTGAAATTTGCCAGTTCTCCTGCCTCATAAATTTTTGTGCTCAATATTTTAATAATGTTCTGTTTCTCCCTTTTTTAACTGGTTGACCCTTTCTCTCTTTCCAAGAATTAAGCCTGCCATTATTGTTCATTAATGGAGACAGGAATGAACCTCAAGGGCTCAGAATACTGAAGAGGAAGAAGAAGAAAAGAGAAGAAAAATAAAAGTTCTTTCTTCCTCCTAAACCACTGTGATTTTAATATGCCCAAGAATGTCAGTTTCCGAAACATGGTGTTGATAATGAGATGTTTCTCTTAACTCTTTTGGTCCCAAGGAACGCATTATACGTTCATAGGTTCCAAACTAGAAGCCCAGTGAAGGCACTGTGCGCTGATTATACATATCTCTTTACTACCCCTTGGGTCTCTGAGGCTTAACCCCCGGGATTTGAAGAGCTAAATATGTCAAATTGTATAGAATATCAGTATCTTTATCCACAGATTCTCATGCAAATTCAGGTTTAAAAGCTGTGGTTTTCTTCTGTAGTGATCATAAAATATCCATATTTTACATCTGTATTAGTGTTCTCATAATGATTACTTTTTATGTGTGTTGTTTAGTTTTTGTTGGCTGTTTTAAACTGTTTAAGGTAGCAGTGTTCAAAGAAAGGTCAAAAACTCTAAACTTTCATCACAAAATCAATCATGTATATAGTTTAGGTATGGACTTACATTTGTTTTTAACATATTGAACTCATTAATGATGCTAATTAGCTATCCAGTATGGCCAACACATGCATAAATTAGACACTTAAAAAAAAATCATAACTATAATATTTGTAAAAGAATCTGACTGAAACTTGACAGATTGAATTACTATACATACACTAGGGAGCCTCACCTAGAATGGCGGACATTGACTTAACAATTTTTTTCTGTTTCTTTTTTGGTTCTTTTTGATTTATTTAAAAAAACATTAAATTTGTTATATTTATGCCTTATTATATCTGTTTAATGGTCATAAAATCAATACATTTTACTTCTGTTGTCTCTATTGTAGTCCAGACTCTGCATTAATACTTGTATGTGACAAAAGTAAAGTAAAGGACCCTTTTCCACGCCTTTCAGGTGTGTTGGGTATATAGGGCTAGACCTGTATTTGATAGACCAATGGCACAAGGTGGGTGATGTGGTCAGCATCATGCTGGCCACTTTTACTTCCTTAGACTGCACCTGGTACCCACTCAAGGCTGGGTCAACCTGGTAGCAAAGGTCATTTTTGAAAAAATGTCTGGCTCGGCCAGGGAGCGAACCCTTGACCTTCCGATCCACAGGCCAGCATCTAGCCACTATGCCACGGCGACTCCCTTATAAAAGTAAAGATCCCTCTTCACGCCTTTAGGCACATCAGGCATTTGGGAAGAGCGCCCACATTTTTACAGATCAATCAGTACTAAGTGGGTAATAAGGTCAGCATTACACCGGCCATCAATACTTTCCAGGACATACATCCTGGTACCTATTTTAGGCTGGGTCGACCTGCGAAGCCCCATACCATGAAATCTGTGACAAAGGGTTGTTTTAATCTTTAAGCTAATTAGATGATCTGATACATCTTATTTGAAAGGTCACTAGTCATGTTAAAATTACAGTACTGAGAAAACAACAGAAACTGTTGATATTGTCTACAGCAGAACTTTAGACATTCAAATGCAGGCTTTCTAAAATACTTAACAAATCGTAGAGTGACTTTCCTTTAAGAAATCAATGCATTTCCTTTTCTTCATTATAATTTCAAAGTTTTAAATTTAGAAACATTTAGAGAGAGAGAGAGTGTGTGTGTGTGTGTGTGTGTTTATGTTTGTTTGTTCACACACATACTTCAATTAGTGGTTTTATATACAAGGTGATTTAGAGCAAGAATATTTTTTTTTTTTTTTCATCGAACACCGGCTGTGAATTCCAGTGGAAGGTCCCGGTTAATCGTCCGCTTGGACTTTTGGCCTTCACCTGGACCTGATTTTTGCGTGTACAACCGTTTTTTATTTCCCTGCCTCTTGGGCAGCTGTACGCCGACTTCGAAGGAAGACGTCAGGCCTATTTCTAGGGTGACTGTGGCCATTGTTTTGTGTGGGTCGAGACTGCCTGATTTGTGTGGTGTCCGCCTTGTCTCCTTCGCCGCAGGTATTGCCCCCCGGAGTACTCCTTTGGGGCAACCCCCTGTGGAACAGTTGGCCCTCAAGGGAAGGCAGGGGCAGATCATGGGCATTCCCCGCCATCCAAGGAGGCTTCCATGCATGCAGAGCCGGCACATGGCGCTCTGGTTCTGGGCTCACCCAAGGAATCGTCACGTCCTGCACATGCCTGCTTAACCTCACAACCGTATCAGGCCTCCCGCTCGACAGGGGCTGCGCCCTCTGGAAGTCAGCGGGGAGCAGCCCGTTGGTTTTGGACTTTTGTGACCACACAGATAGGTACATTAGCCCGGCAGAATTTCACATCCTGAATCAGGCATATCGTTTTCAGTTTTGTCCCAACACTCGGGCGAGTGGGGTCTTTGGGTGTGGACATTCGGCCTTTTGCATTTCAGTGCAAATTTTGATGGTCAGATTTTGATCCGTATGATCTAGTTTTGTCGGACATTTAGGCTTAGCCATCCGATGGATGGTTGCTGTTGTGGTTTACCACAGCGCGGCGACGACGACACTGAGGGTTGACCGAGGATGTACGTGACTGGCCAGCCTATGGATGGTTGCTGTTGTGGTGCACCTCAGCGCGGTGACGACGACACTGAGAATTAACCGAGGATGAGCATTGAGCAATGTTCTCTTTACTCAGCAGTCTTTTAACCAAGGGTTGTGATTTTAGCTGTACTTTTGTCGAACCTACTCATGTTCCTAATGAGTTTTGATAACATTTTTCACCCAAGTGTTTGGGGGCGGGCTGATGAGAGCCACAAGGTCACATCACCTCTGGGGGCCGCCAAACTCCGAGATCCCCTGACAGCTCTGTTAATGCTCATTTGAGACATTATCCGTGGCGCACGACGAGGACGTGCTGTAGGGGTCTTGCGTGAGGTTCCGTACAACCAGGATAGTAAAGGACTGGCGCCCGAGTGACGTACGGAGTATCTCCTTATACACATCATGTTGGACTTAACTTCCCCTCACGCCTGTGACATAAATCACCGCGCCACTAGCAAGAATATGAAAATTATCTTTAAAAAAACGTTTTTTTTTTTTTTGGGGGGGGGGGGGGGGGGGGGGGGGGGAGGTGCTCAGATGTAGCCTAGCACCTAAAGGTTCTCAGTAATGTTTAATCTCTGTGTTGCCAGGCTGCATTCTGAATTCTGTTGAACAGACAACACTGTTGTTAATTACAGAGCCAAGGTTTTACAAGTCTATAATAGTTTTAATTTCTACAATGTTGCCTGTCACATAATTTTCTCTATGAACATGTTTTTTGTTAGGTTCAGTAAAAGAATTTGATATTCTTTTAATAGATGGAATGTTTATCTCTTAGCATTGTTTACATGGTGGACCAAGTGATTTTAGTGTGTAGAAATATTAATTCATTTGTACATCACACATTTTCTTTGGTTGAAATGTTTTTTTTTTTAAAGTTCAACTTTTAAGTACAAATAACATAAGGTACATTAATAATGCATATTACCATTATTGATATACTTAGAATTTATCTAGATGTTCAATATTTCACAGAAAACAGTGTGTTGCAAATCTCTGCTTCATGTGTCCATAAAGATATCTTTGTGTGTGCGGAAAGTTCTGGTTGTTCCTCCACCTCTTGGCTTTTTTGTTTGTTCCAGAACCTGGGTGTTGCATGCACATCCATTTTACAAGTCTAAGTTTTTGTGTGCAGACTGTTTGCTTCTTGCCTCTCACGCAGATGCACGCTGACTTCAAAGAAAGTCCCCAATTAGTCAACTCCTACGAGATGATTGTTGGGGAGGCAGTGGCTCTGTTCTTGTTTCTCCCACAATGACACCCTGAACCGACACAGGGAGCCACAGACACTGACTTTAAATTCATTACAGTTGACATTTTGCACGAGTAAAAAGATGTAATTTCTTGCTTGTATCTGTAGTTCTGCTACTACCTGTACATCTTTGGGTTAGTGAGAAGTTACAAGGGGCTGGAGAATAAACTGTCGGCTGTTGTGAAAGGACCTGGCTGGGAACCTGGCAAACCATGGACAGGGTTGTTGGAAGATATACCAGAGGTAAGGAACATTTAGATAAATGAGGGGTAAGAAAAGGTCATCATCATCATCAATCACCATGCTACAAGTCAGTGTAAGAGATTACGGCTCACCATCCTATACAGTCATCAGTGACTATTCAAATTGTTATGTCAGCTTTACAAGAAAATAAATGGAGACATTTATGTTAACCAGCCTTTATCAGTTAGTAAACATAAATATGATTGACAGACAAGAACAGAATTGACTCCTTATAAATCACTGAAATATGTAAAATGCAAATGAAAATATTTTAATGAATAAACATGTCTAAGGCGTTTAACAATTTTTTAGGCTGATATTGAGAAAAGAGTGAGAAACTTGCAAGAGCCAGAATAAACAAGCAGCCTGGGTGAAGCTTGTTTTGTTAGATAAGAGGAGGAAAGTGATGTGTAGTCTCAGAGAGGAAGAAAGTGATGTGTAGTCTGACAGAGAGAGAGGAAGAAAGGGATGTGTAGTCTGAGAGAGAGAGGAAGAAAGTGATGTGTAGTCTGACAGAGAGAGGAGGAAAGTGATGAGTAGTCTGACAAGAGAGAGGAGGAAAGTGATGTGTAGTCTGACAGAGAGAGGAGGAAAGGGATGTGTAGTCTGACAGAGAGAGGAGGAAAGGGATGTTTAGTCTGGCAGAGAGTGGAGGAAAGTGATATGTAGTCTGACAGAGAGAGGAGGAAAGTGATGAGTAGTCTGACAGAGAGAGGAAGAAAGTGATGAGTAGTCTGACAGAGAGAGGAAGAAAGTGATGAGTAGTCTGCCAGAGAGAGGAGGAAAGTGATGTGTAGTTTGACAGAGCGAGGAAGAAAGTGATGAGTAGTCTGACAGAGAGAGGAGGAAAGTGATGAGTAGTCTGACAGAGAAAGGAGGAAAGTGATGAGTAGTCTGACAGAGAGAGGAAGAAAGTGATGAGTAGTCTGCCAGAGAGAGGAGGAAAGTGATGTGTAGTCTGACAGAGCGAGGAAGAAAGTGATGAGTAGTCTGCCAGAGAGAGGAGGAAAGTGATGTCTAGTCTGACAGAGAGAGGAGGAAAGTGATGAGTAGTCTGACAGAGAGAGGAAGAAAGTGATAAGTAGTGTGACAGAGAGAGAAAGAAAGTAATGAGTAGTCTGACAGAGAGAGGAGGAAAGTGATGAGTAGTCTGACAGAGAGAGGAAGAAAGTGATGAGTAGTCTGCCAGAGAGAGGAGGAAAGTGATGTGTAGTCTGACAGAGCGAGGAAGAAAGTGATGTGTAGTCTGACAGAGAGAGGAGGAAAGTGATGTGTAGTCTGACAGAGCGAGGAAGAAAGTGATGTCTAGTCTGACAGAGAGAGGAGGAAAGTAATGAGTAGTCTGACAGAGACAGCCATGACCTCTGCCTCTGTTCCTGACAGTGCTTTGCTAATGCAGTTTTCACATATGGATGAAAGCATATGGTTTTGCTACCTAAGCTGTCGATTTAAGTGCCTGGTGCAGCTCTGTGAGCTGTGTTTTTCACATGTGGAATGCCTTTCATTTGTGCAGTGATTGTTTCATGGTATTCAGTATTGTAGGCAGTCAACTTAAGTGTGGGATGGGGAAATATTTTATGTAATACTTTTTACGTGTGTATGGCCAACTTATCATAACTGACTACTTCTATCAATGACCGACTGCATTTCTGGTGGTGACTGTTGGCTTTCACCCCTCTAGCAACTGCCTTATGCATTTACTGCATGCACATATTTATAGTTTTTGCCGGGACTAACTCTTTGTTCACTAGTTGTTGTTGTTTTTGTTTTTTTTAATGGGACATTTCATTTGATTTTCACTGGCACAGGAACAGAGCATGTATGGGTTGACTCGACCGCATTGAAGTTAAAACCTACTACTATTATAGATGCCAGCTGCGAAGATGTCCATATATAGGCAGATCAGAGAAATCATTATGACCCTACAATGACCCTTTTGATCCTCTTTTCATCACATATGCCGCTGTCACTAAATGTTTCTCTTAGAACTTGTATAAAGAATCTTAATTTCTGATAATCTAAGTAAAAAAAAGGTGAAGGTTCCTTTTCACTTTAAGCCATATATGGCTAGACCTATATTTTTATAGACCAATCGGCACAAGATTGGTGATGTGGTCAGTATCATGACGGCCGTCAAGGCTAGGTCAACTTTGAAGTCAAGGTCATTTTTGAAAAAGTCTGGCTCCGCCAGGGAGCAAACCCATGACCTTCCAATCCCCAAGCGAGTATCTAGCCGCTACGCCACGGCGACTCCTCTCTGATAATATAATTTTCAGTTTTTAACTGCTTCTCAATGGCTGGCTGATTTGTTTTTTAATATGTTTATTACAGTGAATATATTTTTCTTAGAAGCCACATTTCTATCGCCATTAGATGTGTCTCAGCTTGTCTGTCTTGAATCTAAGTCAACCTTGCACACAGGTTATGTATGACACTTTAACACATTTATACTAGTGAAACAGACAGCTGTTTCTTGGTAAGAAGTTTTTTTATTTTCAAAAGTTATAGACCACTTCAAAAAGTGTTGAGTGTGTGTCTTAACTGTTGCAGTTTGCTAATTATGTGGGATTCTATCTGCCAACACTTATCTTTATACTCTGCCATCAGTATTAACCCACTGAACTTGTATTGGTTTATTCAACATATCAACATCATTGCACACGGGTGTAACCTATTAGTGCTCCGTTCTAATTCCAACTTAAGTCTTGAGTTTGAAGCAGCTCAGCGCAGTACATGAACTCTGTTGCACCAGTGAGGATCATGAAATACTTCGGGTAGATTTTTTACTCCAAATTTAGCCCGGGCAGCATATTTGGCTACTCTTTTCAATTTCCAGCTGCCAAGGGATTTTGTACATGCGCAGCCATACACACGGGCATCCAATCTCACTACCCAGAGACCAGGGGAAATTTCTGAAAGTCCACATGAGAAAATCCCAGCTTTCACTGGTGCTTGAGCCTGGGACTCCAGCAATCGAGGCGGACACCATGCCTGAATACTACCCAGCTTTCTGAACTGAACTTGTAATCATTGTAAATTGTAATGAAATATTTAAATTAGGCTTTATTGCCAGATTAACTTTGCAAATATTTGTTAGTATTATTAAAAGGCTACAGTGAGTCTTCAGTAAAATTAGCCCCGTACCACATCTAAATGGAAATGTTTCAAAAGACTGATTGTGAATTCTTTGTTTTAAACGTTAACTTCCAGGTGGAGCAGCCAGTAAGAAAATACAACAGTGACCTACCATTCTGGGCCAGTTTGTACGTCCTGTGCCATTTTCTGTTGATAATAGTTTGTTATGGTATGTTGGTCCCATATAAAAAGGTGAGTTATGCTTACTTTGCATGATATCTTATAATGTGAATTTGTGTTTGTTTGCATGTATGCCTGTGTGTATCTCCAAAAACATTTTTTTTTATCCTGAACTCTTTAGGTATCAAGAAATACAGTTTGTGTCAGTGTATAAATCACAGCCATCACATAATTTGTTACCCCATTTTTTTGTTTTCATCAGAGGATTTTGCAGAAATCTGGCTACTTCCAGTATATATCTAGCCTCATTAAAAATAATGCTCTAATGATTTTAACCTTGATTTTTCTTTTTCCTTTTGGGAAAATGCTGTAAAATGGTCAGTGACTATGGCTATTTTTAATTGTGATTGTTTTTCTAAGTGTGATTGTTTTTCTAAGCCTCATATTAATATAAATCATATGCACATAAAGTGAAACAAGAACACATAACTATTCCATGATTCTGGTGATTATTAGAAAGGGCAAAATTTGAAACTAAACTTTATGTTTTTTTTTTTTTGGACTGTGAAAGATTTTTTAGTGCTATGAAGCACTTGGCCTTTATATTCCAATTTACAAATCTGAATCTGTTTATTCATATTTTTTTTACAATGCTACTGTTAGATTTTACATCTTGAAATGGAGTTCACCATGGGAGATTGGGTTTTTATTATCTTTTTCTTTTTCCTATGAATTTTTACCCAATTTGTTGTGATCTCACATCAAGTATTCTTAATTTATCTTGTATCTGATTTCCTGTGTGGGACAGGAGGACAAGTCATCAGCAGAGACTATAAACACTGACCTGCCAAGCATGTCATAAGAAGCAAGAAGGAAGCATTGTGCCAGTGTGTTGTAGCCCCCTTAGGGGATGCAAAGAAATGAAAGAATGAAACAAGAACTGACATTACTGCACTCAGGACATTCCCACACATGCTCCGTCCCCTTCTTCAGTAGCTAACAAAGAGTTGACATGCTAATAGAACCAGTTGCAACCTGATTAAAGCCTGCCTCTGTTTCCCCTTCAATGTTGAATATCTTCCAGATCCTCTACACCCCCCCCCCCCCCCCCCTTAACTCTTTGAGTCCCAGGGGGTTTAGCATCACAGGCCCAAGGGGTATTCAAGAAAGACGTAAAATCGGCGCATCTTGTGTTCATTGGGCTTCTAGGTAAAAAATCTATGAACGTATAATGCGTTCCTTGGGACTCAACGAGTTAAATTAGCCTATTAGTGTGTGGATTACCTTTCTGTTCTTTTACACTGTCCATTTGATGCCATAGAGCCTTCACTTCATCCACTTTATCATATAGTAGCTCACCACCCAGAGGAGCGACAGCAGCCAATCTATCCGCCTGCTCATTAAATCGCACATCTGATTATCCTGGAAAGAAAATCCTTGACATGCTCTTGATCTGTGTCTTATCTAGTAATTCAAGGGGACACGACTTTCAGTTTTCCAAAGCATGCTCTGCGAGTCTGTTACAATCACAACATTTCTGGCTCTGCTGTTCTCAAGCCATCAGAAAGCTGCCATTACTGCCTCCACCTCCATTCTCATACTGGATGTAGTGACGCTGTACATGAGGCCCTCTGTTTTGAAGCAGTGTCCATTCGAAACTCCACCCACTCTTCTTATTTCTCACTACAGACCCATTTGTATATATTGTGATGTCAACTGGGCGTGAATTTTCATTGATCAGCTCTTGCACCACCGACTCCATTCACCAGCTATCTATTCCTGGCACCCTTGGTCCAAGGTAACAATAACAAGAACTATGCCGAAGAACTCCATGGCTGTAGGGAAGACGGTCGTTAACGAAGGCAGTTATGTTATTGTAGGAGTGACGCTTGGCTGAAGGATGTCATGTCCCAAGTCCCTTGCCCAGCAAAGAGTGAGGGCACTACTGGGGTGACCATTTATTCACCCTCACATAAGTGCATATCAGTATGGATTTAAGTAAAACTATAAAGAATAATTATCACCAGAGCTACGGAGTGAGTAGCTATGGACAGTGTGCACTGTGCTTGATACCATCTTTATTGAAAAGAAGCGAACAAGTCAGTCAGCTATAGTCAAGCCTAAAATGCTTTCTTTTTTAATTGTCTTTTGTTGATATAATAAATGGTCATCACGACTTGCTTTTGTTGGGAATGTCAGACTTAATGCATGTGAACAGTTTCATTATTATTTACAATGCACAATATCACAGGTGTGCAGTTCAGATCTGTCATCCATTGATATCACAGGAGAAGACAAGATACTGATGTCATGTGTTACAGACAAGATACTGATGTCATGTTTTACAGACAAGATATTGATGTCCTATCTTACAAAGAAGATACTGATGTCATGTTTTAGAGATAAGATATTGATGTCATGTTTTACAGATAAGCTGTATATGCCATGTTTTACAGATAAGTTGTTTATGTCATGTTTTACAGACAAGTTGTTTATTCCATGTTTTTCAGATAAGTTGTTTATATCATGTTTTACAGATAAGATATTTATGCCATGTTTTACAGACAAGATATTTACGTCATGTTTTACAGACATATTATTTATGTAATTTACAGCAACTGACACCTACTTCAGGTATTGGATGTGTGATTTACTTTGTCTACTCCCTCACAGTTTTTGGAGCACTGTTTGAAAACAGGTCAGATGTTCTGTTATTTAATTTTATTCCTTGCTTGTGTTTGTGCATTGCTTTAATTTTACAAGTATTTTCTTGTAAATACAGTGAGATTGAAATTAATTACCTTTTAAAGTTTAAATGTAACATCTTTCTTTATATAATACATATGTTTGCATTTTCATATCACATCTACTGAGGGGAAAATCCTAGAAAAATCAAGTGTAATAAATTTGTATATCAATGTAATTAAAAATATTACTAAAAAAGTAAAAAGTAAAGTCCAGAGATGTGAACCAGCGTCATTGCACACGGTTATAAACCATAAGTGCTCTGCCACCAGTACGAACAGCTGATAAGAATTGTCCGCCTGTGTCGCCATTCGCACGTAACTTCGTAGCTACAGCGACGTTCCTCCATTTACCCCATGGGTCAACTCTGGTACCCATTTCCTAGAGGCTGGGTCAACTCCGGAAACCGACCGGTTTCGAACACTGGCCGTGGGCTGCAGCGAGTCGCAGCTGGATTTGAAAGCGAGCCTCTTATTGACTGCGCTAACGCTGCCCCGGTAAAGTGTATTATACACACACACAAATATTCTTGCATGTGCACACATACAAACTCCACACTTCCAGAAAGAAAATGAGATTAAATATTGTTTAGATAAGTGTAAACTTGTTACTTTTATGTTGCATACTTTTATGTTGCAGAAAGTACAGTCCCTTGCTGGAGGTTATGAGATGTCTACTGTTCTTGATGATTCACTTTTGCATCAGAGGACACTTTGTATTTGAGTTTTCAGTTGCCTCAATTCTTGACATAATTTTTATTTTATCGGCCCTACTGTGGAGTTTTCTGACCTTACTGAAATATGACTTTGGACATATTACAAAAAAGCAGGTATAACTTATTTTGTCTCTTATAAAATCACATTGAAGTTTTACAAGATGTGAGGTATTGACTGATAAAATATCTTTGACAACTGGTAAAGTTCATGAAGGCTTATGATGTGTTCAGAGTTGCTTCTATGTGCCAGGAGGTATATACTTTCCATCCTTTTTAGGATGCAATTTTTCGTTATTTGAAGCCTTACTCTGGCTCTTGCCAGGGGCCTCAATATAGCCTGGCCATAGATATGGCCTAAAGGCTGAACGCGGTTTCTGGGACCTCTCACCCACATGGTGACACATTGTGTCATCGGGTGTTTATCGCTTGTGTGATGTCATGGTGAGGTAGAAAGTCAGTCAGTCAGTGCCAGGAGGTCGGGTGTGGCTTAGAGTAGTTCAGAAAGTATCATGTCCATTTCACAGGTTAATTTGACAATAATATTAAGATAACTTACAAAAATAAACAGAGGAGGCTGAGGGGAAAAACTAACATAAAATCTAGCTAGGCAACAGAGAAATGTAATGAGGAAGGAAGTTCTCATAAAAGGAATAATATTATTAGTAAAGGTGGTATAGGTAGACCCTAAGCTGTGACATATTTTTTAAATAAAAAATTAATTTAAAAATTGTGAAGTAAAATTTTTTTTTTAAAGTGGAAAATGCAATTAGTATTTTGAAAGATAGAATAACTTTTGTGTGTATGTATGTAAGTTGTACCCCACCAGGACATCACACAAGTGATAAACACCACAAAATGCCACTATGCGGATAAGGATTACCCATGGAGAGGTCCCGTAAACCCCGTTAAGCCGCTAGGCTATATTTCAGGCCCAGCTGTTTTAAGAGCCCATCAAAAGCCCGAGTGGGGCTTCAAAATAACTAAAAATTGCATCCCCTAAGGGGATGATGAGAATGTATTACTAGTTCATTTGTTATTCTAAACAAGAATGTATTAAATCAAATATGAACCTCTCCAAGAAAAAAAAAAATCACTGCCATTTACGTGGTTTGGGAGACTGTATTATTTCTAAAAGAGAAGAAATTTTGGTAATGCATGCTAATGAAAGAATAACTATTTCAAAAACAAAATTAGACAAAGGATTAAAAAAAATTATTTATTATAAGTATTTATCCATTTCCATTTCTTATTAAATTTTCTTTTATTATATTGTTTTATTTAAAATGCTTGATCTCACATATAACTTTGTATTTCCTTCATCACTCCTTAAAACAATCATTGCAGTTGTGCAGCATCGCATCATATTTTAGTCTGCATGTTCACTGTATATAGCATCAGTCGCTACTTGCAATAAATATGTATTTGTTATATGCTGACTGCATGTATGGCAATTGCAGTGCTAGAAACCAAGAATCTATGAAAATAAGTGAATGTCTGTAGGGAATAGGGGTGCGGGGAGGGGGGGGGGTTAAAAATGGGTGTGGCTATATTCGACACACCTTGAAATGTGACCCCAGAAGGGAGCAATCTATTGTTTGTTTACTGTGTTCATAAGGGAAACAATCCATCGTTTGTGTATATTTGCATAATCATCATCATCATCATAAACCACTTCTGCCGTTAAGTGTCTTGGGGAGGAATAATTTGCGATCCAGTGCATGTTGGCTGCCACTGGCTATTGTCATGACGTGATGGCGAAAAGTGTCTTTAATGTTGTCAATCCATGTTTTCCGCGGCTGTCCTCTTGCTCTTGTAGTTGATCTTCTGAGATGTAGTGCTTGTGATGGTATTTGATCTTGCTGCATTCTAACGAGATGGCCAAACCACTTGATCTGCTGTTTCTCGATGAATCTAGTACAAGGTGTTGTTCCCACAATTTGCCTGATAGTTTCATTATTCACTCGATCTCGGATGGTTAGGCTGGCTGCTTTTCTCAGGCACCTCATCTTGCAGGTGGTAATTTTGCGTATATGGGCTTTAGTGTCCATGTTTGGCACTGGTAGCTTAATGTTGGAATGAATATGCTATTAATAATCTGTCTCTTTGCACTCTTAGTTACGCTTGGATGTCTTAATAATGGTGACAATTGGTATATAAGTGCACTTGCTTTCTGACATCTGTTTTCTATTTCTCTGTCGATTCTACCATCTTCTATGATCATACTTCCTAGATATTTAAACTCCCTAACTTGATTAAGGGCAGAACCATTCAGCTGTATGTGTAGTGGGGCAGGGGTTCTACTAACTTGCATTGTTTTGGTCTTGTTTACATTGATCTTCATATTGTATTTACTGCATGTTGAGTTTAACCTGTTAATGTGGTCTTGCAGTCTATGTTCTTCAGGGTAGAATAAACAATGATGTTCTGTAATATCTAATATTGCTTTTGGTTAGGGTTAGCCCTAACCCTCATCCTAATCTAAAACAATATTATTTGTGAAAGAATGTTATTATTATGTGAACTTACACATAAGGTGGAATGTGTCCCTTATCACGAGTAGTTAGGCTCTACTTATATCCCATAATTTTTTGCTGCATGGGGTTTCTGGGACCTCTCTACGGGTGATCATCACTGTCACGCTTATCTTTAGGTCCTTTTCAGGATGAATTTTTTTTAATTGAAGCCCCACCCTGGCTTTTGCCGTAAATGTGGCCAATTGTCTGAACGCGGTTTCTGGGACCTCTCCACGGTGATCCTTATCTGCATGGTGGCACTTTGTGTCATTGGGTGTTTGTCGCTTGTGTAATGTCCTGGTGGGGTGGAAAGTCAGTTAGTCATCACCAAGAGTTTATCACTTGTGTGATGTTTGTTTTTATGCACTGTCTTATCCCAGTGAGACAATACGGAACACAGTTTTGTATTGCTGACCCTAGCAACATTCTGTATTTAAGGTCAATAGTATGTACACCTCTAAGTCCTTCTAACCAAACTGTTTCCCCTTTCTGTGTAATTACTTCCGGTAACCCCCCCATCCCCCTCCTCCCATGGCTGTCACTAAATGTACATAAATCTTCCACTGCAAAATAAAAGATGGCCTGGCTTTGCACCGGCTGTCCAGCGACCCTGTAACGTGATAATTATGGGACCTGTTTCAGAAAATGTTGAAGCGGACAGTGGTGGGAAATTTGGCTGGTCCAAAAGTTAGGGAGGGCGAGGAAGGAAGGAGAGAGAGAGAGAGAAAGAGAGAGAGATGTCTGCGAGAAGGGAAGGTAATAGAGATGCGACTTATAATATATATAAATATATACTCATTTCCTAACATAAAATGTACCATCGCATTTTAAAAAAAAATAGCACAATTTGGGCTGTCAATGAGTGTTTATCACCTGTGGTGCGGTCCAGATGAAGTTAAAATGGCACTCAGTCTCCATTAATAAACAAAACATGCAGCAAATAGTTTTTTATGTTTGCGGTCACACAGTGACCTTTTACTGTGATACTGCCTAAGGGCAATGTATGGGAAAATTGTGCTTTTAAAAGGTGGCATACAGAGAGAGAAAGAGAGACAGAGAGACAGAGAGAGAGAGAGAGAGCATGTGAGATCCAATGGTTAAAAAGGGAGTGGGAAGGAGAAAGGAGAAATGAATGCTCTGCATACATATAAGTTCTGTAAATAATTAATTCTTTTGTGTATCATTTATCATGTACTTTGGAATTTGTAAATGGATTGTGAATCAAAATAAACACTTTAAAAAAATAAATTGTGTGATGTCCTGGTGGGGTAAAAAATCAGTCACTCAGGCTGCAGTCAGGGCCCTTAATGTAACCTAAAGGTTGAACAGGGTTTCTGGAATTTGTGCTCAGGTGATTCTCATCATAATGGTAGCATTTTGTGTTACGTTGTACAGTCCTCTTGGGTTAAACAACACACAGTCAGTAGTTAATGTCAAGTTACAGTAGAATGTGCACCCTTAAGGTCGCTGTGCATGCGTACATGGGTGGGTGGGGGTTTGGGTGTGTGGGGAGTTACACCTGGCTTACCCAGAAGCCAAATTAAAAAAAAGAAAAAGAATCCAATCCAAAGGCACACAAAGACTCACTGTAATACAAACAAAAACAGGATGAAGAAACATACTGGGGGACCAGAACAAATGGCTAGACTACACTAGAGCATGTATGTCTATTATGAAATACACCTCAATCTTTAGGGCTGTAGCAGTAAAAATGAACTTCTGTAACTTCAACCTCATGGGTTAAACAACACACAGTCAGTAGCGAATGTCAAGTTACAGTAGAATATGCCCCCTTAAGATCGTCGTTTCAAGGAGTACCTTGTATTCTCTTGTAGCTGTTTAACATTTGTGCAGAATGTGTAATGTGAAATAAAAGAAAAATTAGACTAGTGTGGTAATATTGATTCCTTCATATTTGGTGATCATTTCTATTTTATGACTCAGATATGCAAATGATACCAGCCATTTTTCAAACAGCACCAACAATTTAGGACAGTTAATTCTGTATGTTAAAAAACTAAATGCAAATCCAATATTTTTAGGCTTCTAAGAAACAGCAATGTCCACAGACAAAATTAAAAATGTTACAGACTTTCTATAACTTTATAAAATAATTAACAACAATCAAGACTGTTCAATACAACACACAAAAGACAGACTTCAATAATACAGAGATTTAACAGTATTACAAGATTTAGGCACAACACCAGTAAAAAAAAGTAAGGTTAATTTTTGAGACCATGCATCTTTACTGTTGCAACATATCGGTGTGGGTCATAAACCATTTTGCATTCACTATAGAAACAGATTTTAACTTCTAAATTTGAACGCCCAAAAAAGGGCAGATGACAGTATGCATAGAAACAGCTTGTAGAAAGCTATGAGGGACTTTGGAATGCCAAAGAAGTTTATCAGCAGACTATGTATAGGAGATACTTATAAAATAGTGTAACACTTGAAGGCAGACCATCAGGCTCTTTTCAAATAACATCTAGTTTAAAGCAATGCTAATCTCTGTCCTCGCTTCATTGCAGCCTGGCCTAAGAAAAAATTATAAGGAAAGTAAAAAAAAAAAACAATCTGTACTATATGAAACTACAGGAATAC